TGGTCCTCTGAAAAAAAAGAATAGAAACTTCATCATTCTCTACTTGGATAACGTTTCTCCCTGGCATGGATCCCTCTTCAACTGTACTGGCTTCTAAGGGACAGTGTAAAATTATATAATTTAGACATACGAGGAAGTAAAATTAAATAGCCATGAGATGAGCATGCCATTAAACAGATCTAATTTATAATGGGCTCTTATGCAAATTGCCTTTGAGCACTCAGTAAAAGAAAATGAAAAGAGATTAATAAGGACAGCTTGGACTAAAAAGTTGCAGAGAAAAAAAAAGTAAAAGCCTGTTCCAGCTCACTCTCCACTCACCCCAGAGTGTTAAATAAGCATTCCCATTAGCCACATAAATATAATGATGTGATAATAAAACTTGCACTTAACTTTTAAGGGCCAAACCCCTAATCACTTTGCCACAGTGGCTCCAACCAAGTGAGTAAGATTTCAAATAAAATACCTGTTCTTTGCTATGTGATTCATTACTGGGGGGGAGAGAGATCTGTTTTCATGAGTGTTTTGCTCTTTGCCAGCTGCCGAATGTACAACCTCGGTGAAGTCTGAGGCATTTACTTGCCTTGCCACTAGCATGGAATTGCAGGTGCCAGGGCATTGCAGATGCTCCTTCTGCTGCACAGTTCCCTCCAATGGGTTAATAAAAGGACTTTGCACCAGTTTTCATGCCTTTTTGTTGTTCTGTGAAAGACATGGGGACCAGGGAAATCTAACAGCTAAGGAACTGTTGGAAGTAGTTTATTGCAAAAGATTTTCAGTTAGTTTTGAGTTCATAGTGTCCTGATAAAGAAGTTGCTATAGTTAATAAGAAATAAAATACTGAATATATTCAATTGTAAGAAACGTTTATTTTCTCAGGGAAAAGAGAGGGTTATTTCTGCCTTAGTGTGGAAGTGATGTAATATTCTGCATGCTTATTCCTTTGATTATGAAAGGGAAGAATTTTAGCTTTGTCCAGTGAAGCCATTAAAACAGACTGCAGAACTATGTAATTTTTCTTGGCATTGAGTTTTGCCATAGTTGACTTGTTTACTTCATATTAACTATCTTGTTCCTAATTGTTGCTGCTTTCCCACATTCTCAGCTGAGGCAGAATACACTAAAGTGAAGCCTTTTCCCTTTATGTGTATAATAATATATATAAATATTTATATACACCGAGAGAGCAAAGTTATGAACACTTACACTATGTATACAGTTCTGCTGCAGACTGACTATATTTATATACTTGAGAAGCAGGACTTGTGTCTGAAGAATTTGAGAAATCCTGTGAGCAGTGTCATCTTCCTGTGCTAGCGTCTTGGTCTAGAAATGCTGTTTACAGGCGTGCTGGTCTGTGGGAAGAAAAATCCATCTCTGTAGTATTTTATGGAATTAAACCCATGATCTTTTACATGCCCTGTTGTTTTTTCTTCACTAAAACCAGGCTTGTGGCTGGACCTAGTTTGTGTCCTTAAAGTAAAAACAAATTCTCGATAGAAGCAGGATTTTCCACTGGTTATATTTTCAACCCTATTTTGACAGTGGAATATGATACTTGAAGCCACAGACATTAATTATTACCCATTGGAGGTCGCACTTTCAACCCATGGGACATCAATTTTCCTGATATATAGAAAATTCCAGCCTGTTAGTTTTAATTAAATATTTCAGAAGCACGTTTTCTTGTAAATGGACTACAGTTTCTTATCCTTTACCCTTGGTATTTGGCTAATTCTGCATATAATTATCAGCTTATTTTGCAAGCCTCCTTCAGAGCATTTTTCTGTTTCAAAAATCCATTTTGCTGTTACATATTTGTCATTAAAAAAAAAAAAAAAAGGTGTCTTCGCTAATCATCAGCCAACATTGTCAAGAAGGAGATGGGGAAAAACATCTTTCAGGTTTTCTTGGGAAGTGAAATCATGATAAGAATGATTTACCAGTCCTTTCTTGTGCCAGCCAAACTGATGTCTCTTAAGCGTTTATAATTGCAGCGTGAGACCAAGCAGAAGTACCAGCAGAGCTGTGGGGAACAGGGAGGATGGTTACTTAGATTGTATTGTATAGAAGAGGTGCCAACTGAGGCATGGGCAGGAGCTTGCCACTGCCTCTAGGAACCAGAGAATACGTGGTGAGGCTGGAGGGGGAAGATGCTGGTTGTTCCCTGGATCCTGGCAAAGCCCAGTCTCCTCTTCTGATGGGTGTAGCAAATGCAGCTTAGGAGCAGGACCATGTCACCAGATTTGGATCCCACATTATCTAAAGTTTCTCCCTGAAGGCCATCTGAAGGAAGCTGGAATCTATGTCTTTTCATCTGAAAATGAAAAGAAAGCTTTAATTTTGTTTACAGAAGCCTCTCTGCTGGGGGTCTGCCCTTCCAAAGCTGTTTTAATATGTGAAAGTGCAGTTGTGTATTGCAAAGTGATCCTGGGAGGGGAGCCAGAAGGGAATTGGGACTTTGCAATTCCTGGGGTTTTACTGCTGCTGCAAAGCAGCAGAGCACTAAGGCAGTGTTTTCAGTTAATGCTTCCAGCCCATACCCAAAGCCTTTGAGGTCCCAGGTAGCATTCCCAGTGGCTGTGTGCTCTCCTCAGCATTCTGGTTTTGTCAGAAGGCTCCATCCTCTGATAGTATCTTGCTCTTCTCTAAACAATTAATAAAATGGAGACAAAAAGCCTAGAGGTTTAAAATATGTAATTATATAAGTAATTTAGAACTAGGAAAATGCTGCAGAAACCAATTACAATTATGCATTTCAGTAATGACTGACTTGGCCAAATACATGTTTTGTGTGTGAATTCCATGATAGATTTCAAGATGACTTGCTTGAGTATAGGGGAAAATTAATTCTAAATGCTGAGTACTTCCATTTTAGACATAAAATGTGGTTCATCTACCTAGTGAACAGGAACGTGTATTATATGGGCTGTCACAGCTTAAATTTTGAGCAGCAGGGCAGGCAGTAACAAGTCTTTGAGGAAGAAAGCTTGAATAGTTCCAAGGGATGGCTTTGAAAAGAAATGTTTTGTACCTGATTATGCTGCAAAATATATTTAATTCTTTATATTCTGTGGATTTCATGTGACTTGATTTGATGCAGGCATTTATTACAGAACTGTAAATGGCTGGTCTCCTCTCAGCCGGTGAGAAACTATAGATGAGACCTGTATTCTGTTCAAAACTTGTATATGTACCTGCTCAGGGCACAGACATCACTCCAAACTCAACTTGGTTTGTCTGTGCCATTTTCAAAGGGAAGATGTGGCTGTGGGTCCAAGACCATGCAGGGTTGCCTGAAACCCTGATCCTCTGCAGTTCCCTGAGATCCTGCTGCAAGCCCTGCTGCCTCTCCCTCTTTGGAAACCACTTCTGTCTTTTGCCTCTTGAACCCTTCCTGGAGATTGCCTTCTGCTGGCCAAAGGATGGGGCATCTCTCAGCATGGGGTGCTTCATGCAGCCAGCAGGGCTCATCACCTCTGAGTTTCTGGTGGCTTTTTTTTAACGACTAGGGGTGGGGAATGGTTTTTTATTCTCTTCTTTTAAAACAAAAAGAATGTGCCATGACTGTTTATTGTGCTTACTCTGTCATTTTCATGAGAAAATAGACTTGTACCTTAGCTATACCACAAGCTGAGTGTGATCAGAGAATAGGAGTGCCTATTGGTCCCCTACCTCCATGCTGATGTCTGGTGATACTGTTGTATGCTCTCTGGTAAACTGTGGAGGTTTTGCTGTGCTGATTCCCGAAACAGATTGGTTATGTTGGGGGGAAAAAAACCTACATATGAACAAGACTTTCCTTTAAAATATTGGAAATGCGGTATCTGCAGAATATTACAGAATGTAGCAGGTTGTGACAAAGCTCTGAAATTGTGCCCCAAATCGCTGGCAGTGTTTCACACGGCGTCTGTGTGACGTATCACAAGTGAGCTATTTCAAGACCATTTTGTTTACAGTTCTGGTGTTGGAAAGATTCAAAAAGTACTTCCACTTTGCATGTACAGGCATATGAGCAGGCACACAAAATTAGACCTACCAGTCACTCCTGCTCATTTCATTGGGAAACCACCAGTGACTCAGGAGTGTTTTGCAAATGCTTCGGTGTAGAATCGAAGCATTTATTTTGTGAGGGTTTTGTTTGCATTTTCAGCCCTTCCTATTGCTCTGGCTAAAGCTAGTTTGAGAGACTCACACCCAGAAATGTGTGTGCACTCAGCAGCTGATGCTGCAAGACCTGCTGGCAAGTGGAGGCTCTCTAGGTAGCTGCGTGGTTCTGGTGGTCAGTCGGTGGTCTCTAAAAATCGAGACATTTTTCTAGATTATTGTAGAGAATTCTGATTGATACCTGCTGCAAGCAATTAACTTTTACATTAAATCATCACCTCACATTGAAATGCTATCTCTTCTGTACCCCCATCTTCATATTCCCATAGTGTGCTGCCCCACAGCTGTGCCTGCCTTAGTGTTGGTTGCAGTAATGGCATCCAAAAGGTGATCTGGGTTTAAAAAACAAACAAAAACCAAGCAAGCAACCAAAACAAACTATTTCCCAGGTACAGTTTCCAAACTAGATCAGGTTCACTGTGCAGTGCTCTGGAAAGCAGAATGAGTCAATCAATGGCGTTGGAGCATCTAGAGTGGATGGGTTGTGCTGAAGGGAGAAATTGAAAGAGTTGCCCAAAATAATTGAGGGAGCGTCATCTCATGAGACACAGATTTGGGCAGTGAGGTGGGTCCAACAGGCTGCTGCCCTGACTGCTTTCCCTCCACCTCCCATCCACTTCCCCTGCTGTGCTGCTTGGAAGTTCCTGAGGCCATGCTGGAAAACATATGTGGCTTAAACCGTGGTTTGAAAACAGCCCTTTTCTTATGGAGCAGAGCCACAGAGCTGCTTCGGTGAAGTATGTGCGAGAGGGCTTTGTAACGTTGGGCCGTTAGAGCAACTCTTGAGCTGAGTTTGGTCTGACTCTGCTACTCTTCTCTTGTTTCCTCTCCAGAATTGGACGGCTTTTTGATGGCACAGAGCCCATTGTCCTCGACAGTCTCAAGCAGCATTATTTCATTGACAGAGATGGGCAGATGTTCAGATATATCTTGAATTTTTTAAGGACATCGAAACTCCTCATTCCTGATGATTTCAAGGTGAGATTTCAAAGGACTTGGGTGTTTTGCATGTACCTTGGTAAAGCAAGTATCTGGTGTGTAGTCAAAAGAGAGCAGTAGACAGGGAAGAGGGACTTGCAGGGTATGGTGTTTGATTTCAGGTACATGGCAAAAGTAAGCATGGGGTTGCTAAAGTGGTGTCTGCCTTTCCTAGAGTGGCATCAGTATTAAATTTTCCCCTCCTGGCTCTAGTTTAATAAAGCAACCTTGCCAGGTCTGACCTAGGGAAATTAAATATTGTAGGATACTGATGGAAACAGAAAGGATGTTACGATCTGCAACTGACTGCTCATGAGCTTGGCTGATTACTTGTCCTCTCATCCATTTTTATGCTTCCCCTCTGATTGCAGCAGCTCCAGTTTCTACTTGCACACAGAAATTAAGAAAATGGTGTGAGAATCACAGTATTGACAAAATAAACTGCATACATGGTAATATTTGAGCATTAAGTCTTAGAATATTTTTCCCTCAGATTCTTGAGTGCATACTGCAAGTCTAATTTTGGAATTTGAGAGAAGTCAGGGATGAATAGTTCCATGTTCATTATTTCAACTTTATTAAAGAGCCTGCTTTTTTTTCTTTTCAATAACAAATTTGTGGTAGTTCACCATGTTAGACATTAGCCTGCAAAGGCAGAGCTTCAGACTGCATATGATGTTTATCTGCTGGTAGGTATGTGGATGTATATGTGGTGTCAGAGAGCTGGGGACCATGGTTGCAATCAGAACAGATCTTTGTCTTTACTTAATGAACACACATCAGTGCAGCTGGCTGTGCCCCTAGTTCACTGTGGGAAATACAGCAGTTGGGATTGAACGGGAGAAGTGATGGGGGAAGGGTTAGAGCTGTTCACACTGGTATGCTGCTTTTTGTCCCATGTGTCTGAAGCATGGGTGTTTGGGGCATAATAGGTGTGAGGTTGAGTTCAAGAACCGTATTTCAGCAACCTCCGAGTCATCTGCTGTAGATACATCCTTGTTACTGCCATGCGTGACAAGGGTGGATCTCCCTGAGTAATGTGGGAGTTTGGAACCAGCCGATAAGCATCATTCCCCTCTTTTGAAGCCTTAGTGCAGCTTTGTGCTGCCCTTGGCACTTGTCCTGGAGGTAATCAGAAATACAGAAAAAGGAAAAGCCACCTTTCATGCAATATTAAGAAATTACATGCATAGAGCCTTTTAAACACGTAAATATACTGTAGCTATGCTGATATTAAAAATGCAACTCCTGGCAAGTTCACCCAAGTATGTGTGTCTTCCCCGGTGGTGCTCAAAGGTGTACAAAAAAAATCACAATTACAATGAACAACACTTCATGTTTCTTAGAAATATATAGAGTAGTTGATCTTTTTTGTTACGCATTAAATGTAAGCAGTATTTTGAGCTTGATTTAGGTGTCCCATTCACGTCAAATACATAGTTTCTAGCTCAAATTCAGGACCATATTGATTGTTAGCAGTCTTCCCTTTTTCTTTGTTTCTCTGTTTTCCCTAATTCTCATGTATCACTTTTCTCTGTATAAATATTTTCCAAATAGCATTATGCTCTTAAACCTAGAAAAACAAGTTGTTTTTTTTTTAATGTTTTTTAAATTTAAAAAATGGCAGTAGGCAGACTCCACATCATCAGTTCTAAATTACTTCTGCACTGGCTATGCCTAGAAATGCATTCTCTCTGCTCTGACATTGAGACAATGTAGTAAACAATACTAGTGGCAAAATGGGGAGGTATTAAAAAATACTTAATTTTTAAAATGCAGTAATATGTGCAAACATTATGCAAATATCAGAATAATTTTACACTAACAATCATTGCAGGCTCCCTCATTAACATTCTTATACCTGTTACAATGCCTGCTAGTGTTGCTATAAGACGCAATGGATCCTAGTGATGAATTTTCTGAATCCTGATTGAATTCTGTTCCATCTGTTCAATGAGGTCATTATTCTATGACATCACTATAGGGGTAAAATACGGGGAAAAGTATGGGATTTTTTTTTTTTTTTTTTTTTTTTGCCTGGATTTTTTTGCAGAAGGGAGTTAAGCAAGCATAGCCTTTCCCTCCCCACACAAGTGCTGCTATACTCAACCTGTTTCAAGTGGCTAATGGTTATTTTTTCCTTGTTCTGTTATTTTATTACCCTTCCTACACAGTAATTAGTACCTATGTCTGAAGGGTTCCAGACCTAGAGCAGCGTTGGCCTGAATAACCATGTACATTAAGTGCCACATTAGCAATGCCTCTTTCTTAATTGTGCACAGTAATGCATGTGTCTTTCAGGACTACAGTTTGTTATATGAAGAAGCAAAGTATTTCCAGCTTCAGCCCATGCTAGGAGAGATGGAAAGGTGGAAACAGGACCGGGAGAGTGGCCGCTTCACAAAGTCTTGTGAGTGCCTGGTGGTGCGAGTTGCCCCAGATCTTGGAGAGAGGATTACACTGAGTGGCGATAAGTCATTGATAGAAGAAGTGTTCCCAGAAATCGGTGATGTGATGTGTAATTCTGTCAACGCCGGCTGGAATCACGACTCGACGCACGTCATCCGATTTCCACTGAACGGATACTGTCACCTCAACTCAGTTCAGGTGGGAACTCACATATGTATTTTTTGAAAGGGAGCCTGCTGGCCAGGTATCAGTGGGCTGACCCTCTTCCGTATCACTGGAGTGTTTTGGCGAACTAAATCAACTGGAGGCTTTAAGCTAGTTATTTACTTTGGTGGGTCAGGATGTCTTTCTTGATTTAATTACATATATTCCCCAAATCTCTTTGCAAGCAAACTGCAGTAGTGTTAAAATTTTCTATGGTCTCAGTGAAGACCCTTCGCTATCACTTTCAGTGGTTTTTCCTAATTTTTTATGGCATAGTACAGGCCTGTTGGGATTGATAGGACAAGGGGCAATGATTTTAAACTACAATAGGGTAGACTGAGACTAGATAAAAGGAGGAAAATTTTTACAGTGAGGGTGGTGAAACACTGGAACAGGTCGCCCTGAGAGGTGGTGGATGCCCCATCCCTGGAAACACTCAACATGAGGCTGGAGAGGGCTCTGAGCAACCTGATCTAGTTGAAGATGTCCCTGCTTATTGCAGAGGGATTGGACTAAATGACCTTTAGAGGTCCCTTTCAACTGTGATTTAATATAGCAATGTCTAAAATCAGTAGCTATTTCAAAATGGATAAGAAAAAATCTGAGAGATAAATGTTGGTAATTTCTGGAATAATTATAACAGGGTCATGTGTTTTGTCTTTTATTGCTTAGAAATAACCAACCTCACACACCTGCCTGCATCTAGTTAGACATCCTGCATAGCCGACACTTTGGAGTGTGACCACTTCACATCTGGAATCATCACTAGCACAGTCAATGCTGTTTGGTTTGGACACACCTCCTAAACACTGTAGACTCAGGAGAGGATTCTTATAGAGAGCAGGCTTGCAAGCTGAACTTGGTGTCTTTTCATCTGCCAGGTCCTGCTGTCCAGGTAGTTGTAGAGTGATAGAGTCTCCTTTTCTCTAGATGAAGCAAGCTGAGCACTGGAGCATGGACTGAAGGCTGGCCAGGCACTGCACTTGTGCTAGCCCCTAACATGAGCGTCAGGATAGACCGGTCTAAAACTATCAAGATAGGTCTAGATAACTCATGTTATGCTTGGACAGTTGTCTCTTACTGGTCTTTACTGTCATACTGAAACATCAAAATGTTTTTTGTCATAGTCATTAATGCAAATTTAGAACAGCCTTGGATATAGGATTACAGCTGAAAATGGATAGGACTTTCAAGGAGGGTCATTTAGCCGCATGTCATATGATAGTTCTCAAAGGAGTTGCATCCTTCAACATTTTGTCACTTATTCTGATGCTTACATTTTTGTTTCACAAATAAGAATTGTCAAGCATATTTACTGATGTGAAAAACCGGAGTCAGAGTGGCAAAATAGGCACAGGCTTCAAGAGGGATGGTGATCCCACACTAATGCTGCATCTTCCATTGTGGGGGGGCATAAGCATCTCCCACTCCTAATAACAGTGTGAGACAGGATAGAGACTACCAATACACAGTCTAAACATAGAGTGAGGTACAGACCAAATGTTTTGTCCAGGGCTGTGCTAGTTTACTTCCCCCACATTTTTTCTCAGGACCCAAGCTCTCCTGTTCTGTCTTGGTGGCTTACATTGAGATATTTGGGGAGGCAGGGGCTGGGATTTTGGCTTATGTTGTTAAAAGCTAAAGATCAGGGTAAACAAAAGTTGCACAGGTGTTTCGATTGGTGTTTCTGAGCCTGTTTTTCCAACCCTTCCTTTTTCATGTCTGCTGTGCAATTAGCCATGCTCAGGTAATTTCAAAAAACATTTGCCGACTTGAAGAATTTTATGTAAAGACGTGGCATATATTTGAAGGATTTTTAAACCACAGCTTCCTTCTGCACCCACCATAATCCTTTGCAGCCTTCTGCTGTTCTGCTTGCCAGTGCTTCCCAGCACCCATGGAAGCCAGTTTTAAATAGCTGGGAAAGCTTGGGAGGCACCTGTTCCAGCACAACCCTGGTGAGGTCCTGTTCCACTGAACAGAGAGTCCCGTGTCCAGTGGGATCCAGGAACATTAGCCTTCTCCTTGGGGTTGGTGGCTGTCACAGCTGACCCTGGTGAATCCCTGGAAGAGTCTCCTTCATAGGTGAGGCAAAGGAGGCCCAGGCAGCAGAACAAATGATGATAAAAGTAACAAAGAGTGTAAACAAAGGAGAGAAGGTCTCAGACTTGCAGTTATGGTAAACCAGTGTGAACATGGGTCATTTAAAAAAGGTGGAATAGTGGTGTGCAAGGAGACCAGTGCTCTAAGCAGCCTCCTAAGCACTGGATCCAGTGCTGGGAGCTGAGGTCTTTGCACCATCTTTGTACCACCATGCACAGTTGGGAGAGCTGTGTTGGGTGCATCCCCCTGCCACTCCAAGAGCCCTGCCTGACCCTTCTTTTTAACTTGTGGGTTTTGGTTTTCTTTTTTTTTTATTTTTTTTTATTTTTACCATTGTATTTCCCACTGGAAGCAACACTCTGGCTGTGAAAAAGGACGAAAGAAAGTCAATGAGGAGAACTTATTAGTTTCATATTTAAAGTTAGTAGGTCCCAGATTTTACCACAGGTACACAAACCTTCAGAATCACAGTTGTTTTTTAAGTCTCTAGTAAATATTATGATAACTTTTCTGAAATTATGACCATGGTATCTACACTGTCCCCATTTAGTTGAGATGTTTGCTCACATCGGCTGTGCAGTCCTTCTTCTTCCTTTTTAATTGCTCAGTGGCCATAGTTGGCAGAAATCAGTCTAATACAATTAAGCTCTGTAACCACTTTTATTTCCTGTCTGAATTCATTTGAAGACACCGGTTATTATCATTGGACAGCAAATAATCTGTTTATTTACCTATACCTTGGTGTTTGTTTTCTCTTTTTTGCAGGTACTTGAGAGGTTACAGCAAAGAGGGTTTGAGATTGTTGGCTCATGTGGAGGTGGGGTGGACTCTTCCCAATTCAGTGAATACGTACTGAGACGAGAACTCAGAAGGACATCTCGTGCACCCTCTGTCATTCGAATAAAGCAAGAGCCTCTGGACTAAAATGGACATGTTTCTTTATGCAAAAAAAAAAAAAAAAAAAAAAAAAAAAAAAAAAAAAAAAAAAAAAAAGAAAAAAAAAAGAAAAAAAAGGAAAGCAAAGAGGAAAAAAAAAGGGGACATTTCATGTGCAGTTTGGACTCCAAACAAGTCCTGGAACTAAAATTGAATAAAAGACACATTTATATCAAATATAGAGACCACACCTGAATTCATACGGGAACACTTGGAATAGTAGTGATAATAATAATAACCTCAAGATATAAAAGAAAACACACACATATAAAAAATATGTATGTATATGTATGTCTGTACATATATATATGTATGTATATGTCAAGGGGTAGGAAATGCAATGACAAAAAAGTGGTAGATGAGGTTGGTGCTGTGATGGCCATTAAGTGTCCTAGGCCCTACCTGGGCCCACTTAACGGTGTACAAGCCATTGCCATGGGGGGGTTCATAGACTACTCTTCACCCATTTTCCATTGCCAAGAAGCCATCCACTTTTTAACGTGTACACACCTTGACTCAACTTTATCTGCATATGGAGGTTTATGTCTGTCTTTTTTAGAGGTGGATGGGCAGGTGTTCAGGAGACGACCATCCATGGCATTGGGAAGCTAGTCGACTGAATTTTAAATGTAGTTTGTACAGAAGTCGCACACTTTTTGTCTGCCCTCACAGATGTGAAAGGTTAACTTTTCTTTTGAGTTAGTTTTTTTTTTGTTGTTTTTGTTTTGTGTTTTTCAAAGGGGGCCAGAATAATTAATATTTGGTAGAGATGCTCTGGTTTGAATCTGCTGCTTTCCTACAATTTTTTCAAATTTTATAATGTATTAAATACAATAAACTCCTGTTTAAAAGAACAAGGGTCTGGTTTAAGCCAACAGAAGCAGAGAGGTGGGACTGCACTGCACTCCAGCATGTGGAGGGGCGGCCGCTCTGGCAAGGCAGTGGGTAGGCAGTGCTGCCTGCACATGGTGGAGTGAGTTAAAGGCAGCAGAGGCTGTTGAGGAATCTGTCCGGTGTGGCACACATGGCTGGTATTTCTTCAGCACTGTCCCTTTGTCTCAGTTGGAAGAGAAACTGTTCCAGTTCAGCCCAGGGAAACCCATCAGAAAAGGACACCTGGTTCTGTAACCATCAGTGTAACAGTGACTCCTTGCATCATTCCCTCATGATTAAGGAGCTGGCAGCTTCAACTCTCCAAGCCCTTGCCTTGCTGAGTGTTAGTCAACCTGTTTGGTTTTGATGTTGTCAATTTTCCTCTTTTCAAGCCATTGTTCTCCTGCCTAGAGAGTGACAGCCCCTTGTGTCACGCTGCTCTGGGTAGCAGGCAGGAGGTAAGTCCATGTCCTGCATTGGATGTCCTGCGAGTTGCTCTCTCGCAGCATCTCACTGAGGCCACCTCTGCAGCCACCTGGTTCAGGCCTGTGAGGTTTTGCAAAGGCAACATTATCACGGTACCACTGCGCAGACCCTTCACAGGTTGATGCTTTCACCACCTGAGATGCACCAGCAATTGCCACCTTTCCTCCAAAGTATCTTTTTATGCAATATTACTGAATATGAGTGTGTATTCATCCTGGTATGGAAATTTCTATCAATGCAATGGTGCTCGCATTCCATTAATTTTGGTGACACTTTGCTATTTATTTAAGAAAAGAAAAAAAAAAGAAATTGTTAAATACATGTAACAAGGTTTTTAATATAGTCTGATAACTAAGAAAAAAGTTACAATTTTTCTGGTTTTCATTAAAAGACCTTAGGGAACATCCTTAAATAACTCTCTAGCAGCACATACCATTCGTTTTGAAGTTACTGAAATGTGAAAATGGGTGAGGGAGGGGGCTTTAAAAATTAAGGTTCATTAGCGGGTTATTAGATCTTCAGTGTGATGCTGGTCTGTCTATTCCCAGTACTGAATCAGCTGCCTTATTGAAAATGCTTGTTTTCAATTAGCAGCAAGAAGTCCTCTTACAAAATAAACAAATGCTTGCTCTTACTGCCCACAATTTGGTTGTTAGCTTGCATAGAAGTCAGAAAGCTAAAACCCTGGGAAATAAATATTTTTTAACAGATACTCAAACCATCTCAAGTAGTATGAAATTTGTCACATCCTATAAGATGCCAGTCCCCGGGGTTTTGAGAGTATGTGGGTACCAGCGCAAGGCAACGTGAATCTTCAGAGACTGCTGCAGAAACCTTCCCTGTTCTTCCAGGTGGAGCCACGCTTTCTGGGGCCTCCACAGTGTACCCAGGGATGTGTTTGCACTGTTCAGCTCAAAGGTACTCTCACTGCCCTGCTAGCCACCATCTTTACATATGGGCTCATGCTCCGCTACAGGCTGGAGCTGGGGGAGCTGGTGCAGCTCCCAAAGCCAGCTGGTTGTGCTCAGCTACTGTCCTTGCTTGCTGAGCATGTACCTGTCCAAATCAACAACACTGAGGATACATCCGTGCTCCTGCCAAATCCTCGGCTGGCTGGTCGTCCTCCCACTGAGCCTACGTTTTGTTGCTGATAGAGTCAAAAATCACTCTGAGCCCCTGAATGTAAAAGTCTCTGCAGTTTACCATGCGGTCAAGAAGTCATGAATATTCAAAGTGATGGCTGATGAAAAATGTATGCAAGAATAAACTAGCTGCAGATATTTAGAGAGCAAATGAGATTAGTCCTGTTTGCAACTGAGGTTTGGAACCATGTGTTTTTAAAATGTTCTTTAGAAAAGCTGCTCAACAAATAAATAACCAATATATCCAGGAAGGCGGGGCAAGTGGGGAGAACCATGAAGGACCAGATTATGCTCAGCTTGTCTCTGGAGGTCAGTAATTTTGACATGTACAATAGTTTAAATTTGTCTAATTTTTTATTAAAAAGTATGAGTCCATTTTATGTAATTAGTGGTGCTGTATTTAATAACAGAGGAAGAGCTGCAGTGAGCAGTAGCTGCAAATGTACCTCAGCAAGCTGGTTAAGCAGTTGCCAGGAGCACTGCTGTGGACATGCAGAGATTGCAGATGGCATCAGCACCCCATCCTACAGTGAGACAGACACAGGCAAAGGAACTGGGTCTTCACCGTTTCTTTTGGTACTCTGAATATTGAATTTCTGCAGTAATCATCGACCCAGGGTTTAGTTCTTCCCCTATTGCCTCCTTAATGTACCAAACAGCTGCTTAATGTAAGTATGGATTCTGACATGCTTGGATGAACCTTAAAACTGTGAGTGTCCCTTTGAAGGCTGAGTTCCTCTCCTCTGCTCTGGAGAAAGTGAAGTCCTGCTTAGTCACGAGGTTAATCTCTCTTTCCAGAAGCAGTACTTGTAAATAGGTGCTGCTAATTTATTCTGTCTCCAGGTACTTATTGTCCAGGTAGTCTGGCTCAGCTAATGTTTTTCCTCTTTTGCTACAAGTCTATAGAAGAAAGCTGATCATCTCAGTGCTTGACTGGCACAGCTGAGGCATTGTTTTATGATGCCTGAGAGAATCCATAATGAAAACCAATGAGGACAACTTACCTCTGAAAGCACGGAAGTTGAGCCACCCATTCAGTTATTTTTCTTTATGCTGAGCAAGTGCTGATTTCAATTTGAAGAGAAGCATTTTGTTCATGAGCATAATTTTTTGCAGCAACCCTTAAAAACTGACTGCTTTACTAATTAACAGGGTTTTTACTGCCACCCAAAATGACTTGTCAAGTGAATTCTTTAATGTTCACGTTGCATGACTTGGGTAAGGAAAGGTTGGATTTTGGGGTCTGAGCAAGGAATTTTTGCTGATGGATGGTCCATTTTTCAGAGAAATAAAAGCATTTATTTCCATCTGTCATTTCTTCACTGTGGAATTCTGTATTATGAATTATTTCTAGGGACAACTGGTATTTGTATGTCGGCATTCATGCTGCCTGAGGTTTATTTACAGTGGAAATGAAACCAAGACATCCTTAGGGCCTGTAGACCAGTTGCTTGTTCTCAGACTTCAGTCTGAGTGGTTTATTATTTCTTGAGGGTCTGGAGGGATCACCACCACCAAAAATCAATATGTTGCATCAGGTCCCTGTGTTGGCTTTGGCTGCTACCCCGTTGATCTGGTTTTTGAAGACCCCAAAACAGACTGAGCATATGGGATCCTTTATTTGAGACTGAAACTGCTAAAATCATATCCCTACTACCCTTACCCAAAAAAAAAAAAAAAAAAAAAAAAAAAAAAAAAAAAAAAAAAAAAAAAAAAAAAAAAAAAAAGATGCAGGTACATAATACACAAGTTCATCTTCTTGTAAGCTGAGATAGCTCTGCTAGCTGGTAACCAGGATGCTAACATCGATGCTGGAGGGAAACCCTAGTGCCAACCTGCTAAAGTATCTTCTGTTTGCCCAAGGAGGGGCTCCAGAAATGGAGGTGTCCTCTGACAGATGGGAGAAATTCCACATTTTCTTGAATTTGTGATTTTTTTTTCATGTTTGTTGAAAGGATTTAATGCGAATCCTGTGCCTCTAAAATAATGAAGAGTGTATTATTTTCAGGTGATGCCAGAGACTGTGGGCCAGACCCCATCCTCTGCGCTCGTGGTGAACTTGCCCCCCACCCAAGTTAGGAGTCCAAGAGGTACAGTGTGGTCATGGGCTGTCAGTATCATTGCATCAAAAGCAATAGTATGTCACCTCTGTTGCCTGTCACTTCTAAAATTACAGATTTTTTTCCCACTTCAGGTCAGAGGAAGCATGGGTTGATCAGACTCTTTGCTCTCAGGCTCATTGAAGGCCTCTGTACATGAGCTGTTCTCTCTAGAGAGGCTGTTGCTGGTCCAAATAGGCTGGGGTTTTCTTCTTGGGGAGCATGGGGTGTTGGTGACCTTACCCAGCCCATCGAGCTGTGACCTGTCGTCCTCAGAGCACAGCTCTGGCTTGATGGTTTGGGGAGATATTGAGGGAGAGAAATTTGTCTCTGTGCTCTGGAGTTTGGACTGATAAATGATCTCATCTACAACCCTAAATGGTCTTCTGGCTTCTGTTATGTAGCTTGTCAGTGTTGTTATTAATTTTCCTGTGGAAAGTGCATAACGTGGGATGGCTGGCCTTGCTTCCTCACCATTAGGATGTAGTCTAAAAGGCAGGAAGACATTGACTTAAAACAAAAACTGCATGTGCTAAAGTCCCCTAAACTCATGTACTGCACTCATTTTGGCTTCAAACCAGAGGGCTTAGCTAGGATCACCAGTGGATGTTTGATACTTTGTTTGATTAACCTCCAAGAAACTGCAAAAACAAAAGGCAAAACAAGCAGAGCACGGATGCTAGTTTGGAAGATCTGGAGCTGTGAATTCACTAATCCCTGCTGCTTTGAATAAATACTTCAGTTCTGAATAAATACTTCGGTTCTGTGTGCCTCACATTAAAACCAAAAGCAGCTGTGCCTTTCTTTCCCTTGCTTTCTCCAATTCAGGAGGTTTGTTTTTCTTCTCCTAGGGGCTGTGCCTGGGCATCTCAAGAGTAATAATTTTGGCCCTAAATGCAGTGCTTTGTCTCTTTCAAAGCACTGTACAAACCTTCAATTAAGAATCGCTCTACCTCTAAGGGAAGAAGGTAGCAATAAACTTACCTTGCAGCTGGGGACTCTGAAGAAGCTCGACTGTCACCCACCTGGATGGCAAACTGAACACCTGGAGTCCCACTTAGCCGCCTTGCTCACCAAAAGCTCTCTTGAAGTGTAGAAAGAGGTTGGAATTGATGAGGCACTGTGAAACAGGGTGGGGGGGGTGTTAAAGTTGTAAGCTGCTCAAGCAAAGAGAAGACTGGGATATCTGAATAAGCTTAAAAAGTAGCACTACAACCATGTTAGGCTTAATGTACCTTTTGATTTTTTTTTCTA